GTTACATGTTTGGTAAAGTTGCTCCAGTGTTCCCCCACCTTTTTCTTTAAGGGTCCCTTTTTCCATAATTGAGTAAACTGACTGATGCATAACAATAACAGCACAGAACAACTGATAAACTGTACAAATAACTGAAATAGTGATTTGGAGGATTATTCATTTACATCAGAGGAGTTTTCCTGATATTTTTAGGAACTTTTGATACAATTCTCTGTCTGCATTATGTTTTTTATTTCTATTTTTAACAATCATACATCGTTTTTAAAGAAATTCAGTGTCTTCTTCCCCCTCACACTTGCCCATTGTTCTATCAGCTCTTTGGTTGTTTGAGCTGCATACTTTTATAATGCAGGACGAGACTGTTGAGCAGAGACAGGAGACTCTGTGAATATAGCTTGTGTTCAGATCTTTAAAGTTAGGATCCTAAATAATACAAACTTTAAAATAACAATTTCATTTAGTTTTGAAATGCTGAGATATAGGCCTACTGTGTATATATATTTAGTTCTCTTAGCGTTGTGTATTTCCCTTAACTTGCTATGTTTTAGGTTGAAATTACCATCTTTGAAGACAGAAGTATTGGCTCTGGAAGATAAAGAAACTTGCGGTATGGACTCCAATTTGACATTTTTCCCTTTGACTCAAGGAAACAGAATTTTCTGAAAGGATTTTGCCAAACAGCCGAACATGATGCTTGTGTGTTGTAATTATGATTTCATAATTATTTAGGAGGGCATTTACTACCATCTAGTCAAAACACTGAAATATGTATTGTCAGTTCCCATTGCTTATTCTCAACGCTTAAATCATTTTCTACCTCTCTGTATAGGCTGATGACTCTGATCAGATTCTCTTCATCTGTCTGGCGGCACATATTCCAAACGTCTGCTATACCTGAATGGATGTATATAAGTTTGATCTGATCCTTTTCTCTGTTATTTATAAGTACTCTACTGTCTGCCTATCTTGTTATGTTTGTATATGTGTTTTCATGTCTTTTTATACATGCAGCGATGTATAAATTGTGTCCTAGTTGATCAAGACCGGTCTTTATGAATCGTGCCATTGTGTTAAACTCGACTTCCTGACCATGGTAAATATAAGTGATTTGATTTGATTTGTATTGTTTTGCAAATTATATAAAGTCAAATAATATAACCATATAAAGAACTGTTAGAGCAATAGGACGGAGATCGTTGGCACAGTCTGTAAACAGTAATTCTGTTATGGGCACCGTCAGTATTAACATTGTGGTTGTAGCCTTTGTTGAGGCAAATGTTTTTTTATCTGTGCATGAATGTGACTTTCAGAGGGGGCGATCATGTCATGTGAAACACATGGGAAGTCCTGAACTAGAGTTTGTGTGACTTCAAAGATGGAGCATGTTTACTGTGATCACAAAATAATGACATGATCTAGTAGATTTTGAGAAGTGGCCATCTCTGCCGTGTCATATTCCAACTGCACTGAATCTCCCAAATCCTGTTCAGCAGTCTTGTTAAATGTCTCATAAGATTCACTACCTGTATTTTGAATGTCATCCAAAATCACCAAACACCACAGAAACCTTAAACACTTTGAACTCCACAGATGATTGCTATAGTTGGTGTTTGATACAACTCATGTACTTTTTCTTACAAATATTGTTCTGTTTTATCTAAATAAATAACCTTTTCCTGCAACCTGTGGAACTCTTTTTGTGTTAGTATTATGTTAACACCGGTACATTTTTTTAAAATTATTATTACCACATAAAGGCACAAACTATACATGAATTTGTTTTTTGCTGTCTGGTTTAGCTAAATTTGGAGGAACTTTTATTCTGAAAAAAAGCAAACCGGATGTCTTGCTGCTTCTGAAGAAACGACTAAAAACATCTGCTTCCGGGAGCTAAACGACAGCTAGCTAGTGAAGCAGTGCCGCCTGTCACTGAAACTGTTGTCACCTGCGTCCCTATGAGCACAGCATCTCCCCTGAACAACAAGTAAACACAGTACACTATAAACCATAAACGGTAAGCCTGTTTGAATTACTACACAGTCTGCTAGCTCTGTTGTGAGTTAATGTTTGGTAACGTTTCTGGTTCAGCACATGAAAACACAGCTAGCTCTCTGCTCTACTCAGCTTACACTAGCTGGTCTTCATTTCAAATGGTGGCTGATAGCAGGTTAGTGGGCACAGTTAATTTGCATTCAGCTTAATTAATGATGGCCTGAAACTTGTCCACGCTGTCCACAGGGTCCGTCCTCTTCCACCCAACCTGGCGTTCCCCTGTTTCGATGGCATTTAGCGCTTATCTCCCAAAGCAGGAATGTCAGTTCATGAATCAGGTCATGGATGAGCTGGAAACATACCAACAGAAGAGCAACCGCAAGAGGTAAAGGCACGACCACGAACTATTGTTTTAAAGCTGCAGTGTATAAATACATTGAAATGTAGTCAGTCAGTCTTACCTTTGATCTCCATGTGTAACAACTGGCAGAGGATGCAGATGGTTTTCGTATATCAGAATCAAGAACATAAATAAAAATACTGTCCATCATGTCTGTGCTCGACTCGCTGTTCTTTCCTGGCACAGTTTGTGTCTGTGATTAGTGTTTAATTAGGAATATAAACATTGTATTCAGCACTCAACAGTAACGGTGCAAAGGTCTTCACTAGCAACAAGAAATAAACTGCACACCATCGTTTTTAAGAAATGTATCCTACAAAAGCTGCAACTCAGATTTCAAACTGTTCTTTGCAACTCATGATACGTTAAGAGTAAATACTAAACTTGAGTAGACTAGCCAAAGTGGTTTACATGTCGCTGTGTATTATTATTATTATTATTATTATTGTTATAGCTGTGTTATGTGTATTTCACTGTACCTCTTTGTAGAGATCCTGGTCTCAATGAGACTTCCTGATTAAGTGAAGGTTATATACAATGACAATAAAGCCTCAATGGGAAATGTTTTAGGGCTGCACAGTTTTTTGATGAAGCTAAAATGTGACAAAACAGCATTTTAATGAAGTGCTGTAGAGATGCCCTCGACTACAATTCTTGTTCTCTACATTTAAGAAAATATGTTGGTTTGATACAGACAGGAGACAATTCACACCATATTGGCTTTCAATAGTTTTTTCAGTGAAAGTTAAATTTGTGAATTATATCACAGTTGCAATATCTTTTTAAAAGAATCACAATATTATGTTTTTAGCCTATCGTGGAGCCCTAAAATGTATGATGTTAAAAATATAGTTGGTTTTACACTGTCAAAAGGAACTATGGCTTTAATGTCTTCCTCTGTTGTCATGCACTCTGTGTCCCTGTGCAGTGTGCTCCTGTTCCCCCCTCTACCCAGCAGACTGCGATACCTGATCCACAGTTACACTGAGGATGTGCCAGAGCTCACCACCTTCTCAGTAGGGGACAGCTGGTGCCGTAGAGTGGTGGTCTGCCCTTCTGAGCTCAGGTACTGAACGTACACTCAAAGGAGATCACATGCACGTTGTTGGACAAACTTAAATCTCTCTTTGAACTTTTTAATGCATTTTTAAAAACCATGAGAAACTAACTGATTCCGACACAGGCGATGCATAGTGTCGTGACACATTAGCGGTAAGGATTCAGTTGATCAGTTTTTAAACAGGTTTAGCTGAGATTGTTTCTTTAGTTCATGATATAGAACAGCCAAGTTAAAATTGAAGGAGGAAAGATGTTAAAGTAATTAATGTCATATTGGGTTTTAATATAAATGTGGGTGAGCAGACAGCCGCTATGCAAAAGCTTATGAAGAATTTTGAAATGTAGATTTTAAAGCTTGCCTCTAAAATATCCACAGATTGTAGTTATTCGATGTGCAATTACCATCTTGGCTGTATTGCAAAGAAATGTCCTTTCACTTTTTGTTTCACATTTCTTTAGTTTGCTTTCCTAAATTCCTGATTTCTGCATTTAGTGAAATGTTCAGTGGGTGTTCCTGTGTGAAGACGTTTGTATTTTTCTGTAGGGGTGAGGTAGAGGAAGATGTTGACTTGGAGGGCAACAACAGCTTGTGTGAAGAGCCCCTAGCGAGGAGCAAAAGAAGGGAAGGGATTGAGGGCGATGCCAAGCCTAAATCAAAAAGCCGAGGACCGAAGAGGCCAGACAAACCCCTTTACATGCCGCGAGCTGCGCGGGAGAGACTGTCCTTACAAAACTCACAAGGACCCTCAGGAGACCAAGAGTTGCCCAGTCCGGCCTCCAGTAGCTTTAGCTGCATCAGCAGTTCATCTGAGACTTGTTCCTGTCCTGAAACAACAGAGAACACAAAGTCCTCGTCCACATCCGGGCAGGAATCAGACCCCAGTGTAGCGGACGGTGTCCTCAACCATGCTGCTGAAAGTCCAGCGCTTTGTCCAGAGGGGCTGATGCTGCATGAAGCTGAGAGCCTAGTCTGGGACGAGACCGTGTCCTGCTTTGCTGAGATGAATCTGGAGGAGGACGAGAAGGACGAGAAGGACAAGGAGGACCTTGCTAGTGTGCCATGCAGTGATGTAACTGAAGAGGTAAGCCTACACTTTGTTTTGATTTTGTTTACTTTTTTCCTACTGGTTCTTAAATGTCTTACTAATTTTCATGTTGAGGCCACATTAGCCCCATAAACATTGTAAGTTATTTTGTGTGTGTCCCTTCAGATCAGGGCGCACCTGAAAGAGGCCGTGGCTGTTTCCATTGAGCACGTTCACAATGACTATTCCGTGTATGTGAATGTGTGTATCAATATCAGCCCAGATGACTTTCGCCACGTGATCGAGATCTATGACTTCCCAGCTTTATTCAAAACCGATGACCTCATGGATGCTTTCTCGGAGTACAGGTGCAAGCTCTCTACATGTCTGCTGGTTTGTCTGTTCTTGTAGTCCTCTGGGTTTGAGGTTATTCATTCTTCACATTTTCTATACGGGATAATACGTTTTCTGTGTTTACTATGCAACAAAAAGTTCAAATTTGAATTGAGATGCATCCTGTGTGTCCAATCTTAGTAAATTAATTAAATGAAATCAATGAATTGATCTATACTATATGAACTAAGTCCTTTCCTGTCTGTCTCAGTGATGGTGGAATGAAGATCAAGTGGATAGACAACACACACGCACTGGGGGTTTTCTCCAGTGAGTCAGCAGGTAAGAGTCGTCACTGCACAATGAATGTGGTGCTGGGATTGAGTTTAAAAGATGAATGAAAAGATGTACTAACATGTATAGCAATGTCATATGCAGCACTCCATGCTCTCTCCATCTGCCATCCACTGCTGAAGACAAGAGCACTGACCGAGGGGAGCAAAAAAGCCAAATGCAAGGCCATTAGATTTGCAGGTAGGTGGTTCACTAAGCTTATTTGAGCTGCTTTAGCTACTTTTAATAACGTGCTTGTTGTTTATGAGATAATATCGCAATTTTGTTAAATATATGGAGCCCATATGGATGATGTAGATCAGGTGTCTGTTTTCTCTGCCGTGTTCCAGAGTTTATCCAGCCAGTGAAGAAACGTCCTAGGACAGACTGCGCTGTTGCCCAGCGGATGGTGACCAGAGCCCTGGGGCTGCAGGGACGAGGCAGAGGGCAGCGATACTGAAGGGGAATCGCTAACGCTTGGCTAATGCAGGTGAACAGACCATATAGTAAGCACTGTGGAGTTGACTATCTTGAAGCTGTTGGAAACATTTTGAACATTAAGGAAAAAGATTCATCAAAGAAATTAGGATTTGCTTTGACCATTTTTTTTATTTCAAAAATGTAATGCTTTTTCATCATTCACCCATGCATACAAAATAAAAACAGTCAGGCAGCAAGCAACAAGTACCCTTTTAAAATGAAGGATTCTTCAATTTGTTACATTAAAAAAAACTAAGTTACAAAACAATGAGGAGTTTTGGAGGCATTTTCACATACATTTGTGGCTTTTTAAGTATGCCCACAATGTAATCATAGTCCCTGACTCAGACATTGAGAAAGAAGCTGAGAGAAGCATGAAGATGTAAATGTGTGTCTACTATAGCAACCAAGAAAAATAATAAATAAATAAAACATTTTCAAAAGTGAACTCAAGTATGTGGAACATAAAGTCCTGGCAGAAAAAAACACTTCCCCACTCAGTTAATTCTGACTATTTGTGACTGAAATCTTTACTAGGATACAAATCCAACTGTTATCATAGATGTATTCAGCACAGGAGGGGGCATGACAGACAATGTAAAAATAAATCCAACTTTTGGTAACCTAAATTATAGTTTTGGTTGTCATACTTTGTAGAAAGTTTGTCTTTATAAAAATAGGAGTTAGTTGTCTGTGCTGTAGATTATGGCATGTTTTTACAGTAATTATAAAGATGCACTTTTGTTTTTAGTTTCTAGTTAAAGTAAACAATTTTCATCCAGCCCATGCAAACTCTTGACTCTTTGGTAAAGACGACAACTGTTGGCACAGTTAATCTAATAAGTTATTTGGCTGCAGCCCTCCCTGACATCTCTCCCAATAAGCACCAGGTCAAAACCTTCATTTCATCAATAAAGGCAATAAGACACTAAGAGATAAGAACACGTTTGAACAGCTGAATGTGGTTAATAGGTTTAGTAAGCAAGCAGTTCATTTTCCCCATAGAATTATTGTCCATTGTATCAACCCTGATCCCAACAACAATCCAGCACTGCTCCAAGGAGGCACAACAGTACAGCCCCCTCTAGTGGTTGTCGAATATTAATATACAATTCCCTAATGTCCATCCATCTGCGTTGTCCGTCTTTGGTCTACCTGTATGAAAGCTGGTTGGTCAGCAATCCCGGGGAAGTTTCCTCTGTTTCTGAACTCAGTGAGCCACCTGTAAAGTCACACAGGGAGAGATGATGAGGCAACGGAAATACGAATCTGAACATCTGACAATAATAACTCAATGTGATGAGTCACAACAAGAAAAACATTTCATTTGTGATTTATTGACAGTAAAGTGTTTGGGAAAGGTTTATTTTGTACTATGTTGTGATCAACATCATCTAACAGTCTCCGTTTCCTACAGGAAGGTCCAGCAGAGGTCTGCCTCCATCCACTGGTCCTCTGTAGAGGCTCCACAGTGGCCACAAACAGCCAGCTGAACTTTAAGAGTCCCGTCCAGCACTGTTTGCCTACTTCACTGATCAGTACCGCAGGTTTGCAGGGTGAAGGAGTAGACTGGCACGAGTTGACTGCCACACATCAGCAACGTTCACCCTGCTGAAGTGTCTTTGAGCAAGACACTGAACCCTTTGGACATTATTGGTTTAAGTACGATTGAGTCCAATGCAAACGGTGATTTAAAAGAGAAAAGGGAGAAAACTGGAGAAGTTCTTAGATTGTTTTGATTTGATTGCATGTTGCCTTGAAACTAAAGTGCATTTCAAGGGTGGTTTGGTTAAATAAATCTGTCACATTGTGCGTTGTAGTACAACTCCAACTGACAAACGTAATGTAGGTCCATTAACAGAATCCTATCTGTTAAAAAGATAACACTAAATATAGTTTTGTTTTCAAAAGCCAGCACTTCAGTTGAGTAAAGGAAAACAAATGTAACAACAATGTTATACTGGACTCAATAGATATTTTATAATGCATTAGTTCATTTAAAACGTTGTTTTATGTTTTGTAAACAAGTTGCAATTGTTTTTAATTTTTATTTTTTCCTCTAAATAACACAAAACTACCATAGGATTGTTGCCTCGGGAAAGTTCTTTCACATTCCACATTACACAAAGCTAAAAGATTTCAGACGTTTTGGATGAAGTTAAGTTTTTGCTTTGCAAACCTGGATTGTTGGGATTGTCTGTACCGGTTACTGTACTGTTCGTCATAGATTTAACACCAGTCTTACGTCTAGGAGGGTGTCTAAAATGCCATTAAGAGAGTATTGTATACGTTTGTATTCAGTAAAAGAAGTATTTTATTTTTTGTCATACTTGAAATGATCTTTGTGCCTGAAGTGAGGGTGACAGGACTTGTTCTGTGGTATGTCTTTATGCATTACTTATTGAACTGTGTCCATTGTGTAATTTCAGGGAAAACAAGACTGGATTAAATGAAATGCTGCACAGTCTCATGGAAATATGAAAATTATACATAGTTAACTTGATTCATTGTTTAAAGTTTAAAGAAGTTTTAGTGTTGTACAATTTTACATAAACATATGCAGCCAAAAAGTGTTAAACCACTTTGTTTTGTTGGCCCTTCTTCAGTACGCTGGATTTGAAATGAAAATGTTAAATGTTAAAAAAGTCCTGGCTCTAACCTTTTAATATGAAGATGTTAAATGGACATCTGGTAAATAGTATAAGAACTGTTACCCAAGACA